TTGGTCTATACAGATTGGCAAACGAATTAAACCTATATCTAATTAGATAATCGAGTAAGTACTCGACTTCCAACTTACGTTGACGTTATCTATGTGTCTATTGTGTTAACATTCTATTGATCATGTGTGCATATGATACTCACACTTAAAAAAAGGTTTATTTTGAACTTAGGCCTGTATATACCAAAACCTAATAACCAATAAAAATATATTATTAATAAGAAATTATAAGAATATTTTGGTCTCCTGATGTAGTGAGAACTATATTTAGTGACTTCTCATAGTACAAATTACAAATATATTGAACTTTAAATAAAGGTAGTCCTATAGTTTTTGTCGCTTTAGATTTCTGTATCGGTTCCGTGATCACTTCTAATAGGTAAATAGGTGATCAGCCTTCTGTGCCTGACACACGCCGATGACTTTTTACATCTATGTCGGTTACTTTACTATGAAAAACTGCGCGTGTTCCGATTTAGCTAATTGTTTTATGAACAGGGAATTAGTCATTGTTTTAATGGGGAATAAGAATTTAAATGTAAAATGAATCATACACGTCCAGATACGCTGTCACCCCGTCAATTATTAGTCACAGAAGTATGTATGTATGCACACGCTCAATATTTATAAATTATCCAACGACGCGATTAAAGCGGCTTTATTTATAAAACTTGGATTAATAATAACTAATTATTCATTCAGATACTTAATTATTTTGTGTTAATTATATAAGTAACAATAAAATAATAAATTCCAGTTAGTTTTCTATAGAAAATGGCTTCCATTTCACCAGTAATAAAAAATAATCCTTGAAAAATAATAATTAACAATAAAATAACCTAAACTGAGAATTAAATTATTAGACTTAATATTTATTATCATTTACACTTCCAACGAAATACGAAATGAGACCTGATGAATGTAAAAGGAATGGGAATTCATTTCTCGTTTCGTCTCAAAGTGGCGAAGACTGCTTCAAACCCCTAATTTATCGTGGTGAGCCTGCCCGAAAGCTATGAGAAAATCCCACTACCTTGAACCTCTGATCATAATCCGGCTCCCTTTGTTACCTTAGATGTCTTAGAGCAGACATCCCGTACTTATTTATATATGTATTTAGTATATATATATACATATAACTGTAGGGCGTAGGGATAGGTAGGGTTGTTAGGTAGTCATATATCTCTCATATATCTAGTTCTCAAATGCAGCTTGCTAATACACACACTACATATACTACACAGATACTGCTGACACTTATTATATACACATCTCGCAGTCCACTGGCTGTCAAGCTACTCAGTAACTATGTGCTTAAGTCCCCGTTTTATATATTAGGTTCATACATAAATGTTTAGCTATTATTGAAAGTTAATATTATGGATTATTATTAGCCGACCAAAACAATATTCTACCTATTTTCTATCCATTAAAGCTTTCAAACATGTATTTACGAACATGCTTGGAAAATTTCTAATCAGATGACAGCGTCAACTAAAAACTTAACGAAGAAGCCATGGATTCTATAAGAATCGCTGTATTTTCTTCAATATTCCAACATAAAACATTTCTAAAATTAGCTTTAAGTACAATATCTTAAGAGTCGCAAAGGCTCTTCAAAAGGTTTTACGGCGCAATAAATGCCACTCTTCATTATGGCGCACCGCTAACTTAAAAAGACGGACTGATAAATTAAATAAGGCACTCATAAACATTCATTTGCTAGCTATTTGCGTCGTAATGGCTTTTTTGGACTTTTACAGCATAAATCTCTTATATAAAAAATTACTACGATTTTATCAGGCTGTATCAATACATATAAAAGTTTATTTTGCATAGAACGATTTAGTTACTTACTTAAGAGTAGGTACAGTCAAAACCGTTTACGACGACATCGTTTAAAACAACATACCGGTTATATTGACCAAAATCAAAGGTCCCGGTTGAATTCTATTAGACCACAAGCCCATGAACAAAAAATACCTGTGAAATGACCCAACCTGAATTACGCTTAGAAGGCTGTTACTATATCTGAAAATAGCTCTGAGCACTATGCCGTCATTTCTGAGCGGTACATGTGAGTACGTGAGTGAATGGACTTTCTCATGTACAATGGGGGAATTTCGACTAATTATTAATGTACGGCTTTGTTATAAGTGTATAGATGATTAAAAATAAATGTCGAAAAACCTAGTGCCGTACAAAAGTGATGGTGCCGGAAGTCGGTGCAAATTTTTAATTCGACGACAGTTGCAGGAGCAATATAGGTCATTTATTACTGTACGGCATTTGTGTCATTCCTTTTGGACACATATACAGATACTTTACCCGTAAACGCCGTACATATTTCCAGCGGAGCGGTCGAAAGCCAAGGGTCGGAACCCTACCCCTACACCCATATACCCTAAGGTCATTGTAAAATGTACGGCAACATGTTCAAAATATTATTTAACACGGACAATAATGTTTTATAATTATGCCGTCCAAATATTATAGTTAATATTTGTGTAATTAAATATTTATCGAAATTTCAGGATTAACCAAGTTCTTACTGCTGTAAGATCAGAGAATAATGTACGGCAACTTGTTTTTTTACATAATGTTACTAAATATTACCGTTGTACATTATAGCCGTTCATTATAAATGGTAACAAATAAAAATATTATGATAAAAAATATATGAAATTTCCGAAATTTAGATGACTTTTCAAATGCTCCTAGAGTAATATGGGGAGTAATATTTTCAAAGATTATTGTTATTTTATATGTAACAAATATAAATAAACAAAAAAAACCAGATGCCGTACATTTTACTCCAGATTATTCTTTACAGCTGATAAAAACTTCGACGACGTTTGAGGTGTCCCTTAAGGTCATTAATAACTGTACATATCTGAGTATACTACCATAAGGCTGTAAAGTATATTTACAGCCTTATCGTACCAGCAGAGAGAGGTAAAGGAAAAATATTTTTAACAAAAATATATATAATACAGGGCGTCCCAAAGTTATGAGACATGAAGGGAAAGTACCTTAAATATCGCAGATAGGGTATTTTACTAAAAGAAGACTTTATGTTATTTATAAAAGTTAGTAATTCTGCATTCAAAGATTTTTTTAAAACTACTTGCCTCGTCTGGAAATCGAACCGGCTTAAATTAAAAAAAACACCCCTACTTTTATGATGCCAATCGAAAGAATGGCCAAAACCTAATAACTTTTCTAAAGTAACAGACTCGTAGGGGATTTTTTTAGGCCAAATACGATCGATAATGTTTTTAATTTGATTAAAAAGATATATTCACGCTGTTCCTTTCTTTTAAAATACTATGTTACTTAAGAAGAGTTATTAGTTTTTGGCCATTCTTTCGATTGGCATCATAAAAGTAGGGGTGTTTTTTTTACATTTAAGTCAGTTTGATTCCTAGACGAGGCAAGTAATTTTAAAAAAATCTTTGAATGCAGAATTAATAACTTTTAAAAATAACATAAAGTCTTCTTTTAGTAAAATACCCTATCTACGATATTTAAGGTACTTTCCCTTCATTTCCCATAACTTTGGGACGCCCTGTATTGGTAGGCGGTGGTAGCGAACTATCGAAAGTGTACGGCATTTATCTTTTATTGAAGATTGTCTAAAGTATTAATAACCTGTGTTATTGCCGTACAGATAAAAGTCACCGGAAAATGACTCTTTTCTGAGAAAAGTAATTTGCCCCATACACCTATGTGTTCCACAAAAAATGTACGGCATGCTGGAAAATGTTATCTATTTGTGAAGTACTCTCAAGATCATTTAATTTTATGTTGATTCATATCATCATCACCTATATGCTAATCAGACATATGTTGCGACCCTTGGCTTTCGACCGCTCCGCTGGGAATATGTACGGCGTTTACGGGTAAAGTATCTGTATATGTGTCCAAAAGGAATGACACAAATGCCGTACAGTAATAAATGACCTATATTGCTCCTGCAACTGTCGTCGAATTAAAAATTTGCACCGACTTCCGGCACCATCACTTTTGTACGGCACTAGGTTTTTCGACATTTATTTTTAATCATCTATACACTTATAACAAAGCCGTACATTAATAATTAGTCGAAATTCCCCCATTGTACATGAGAAAGTCCATTCACTCACGTACTCACATGTACCGCTCAGAAATGACGGCATAGTGCTCAGAGCTATTTTCAGATATAGTAACAGCCTTCTAAGCGTAATTCACGTTGGGTCATTTCACAGGTATTTTTTGTTCATGGGCTTGTGGTCTATATTGTATTAGTTTCTTAATAACAACGTCATCGGCTGTTACGACTATCGGTTTTTACGATCAAATATGAGTAGTCCCTTCGATGTCGTTATAACAGATTTTGACTGTACTTTTCTACGTGGCTATTTCTACTGAATATTCTTTCTTACGTCATACCTTCCGCAGCTTCGCGTGGAGTTTTATAAGGAATGTTAGTGATCAGATCAACAATATTTCTAATTCAATCAATTTATATACAATCATAATGAATAAAGCAATCCTCAGCCATTACACAATCGTCCGACATAGCCAGGGACTTCTTTTTATAATATTTATTTAATAATATGTAATACAGATTAGTAGTAAGGTCAAATAGACTAATCTAAGAGAAGAGACACAGATGTATTTTTATTTATTATTATTGTTATTTTTTCTTTATTTTATTTTAGTTATAGTTTTGTGTTAGTTTAAGTTTTTTGTTGTTGTTAATTATTTATACACTTCTTGTACTCTACTGTAGGTGTTTCTTTTTTATTGTTCCACATTGGGGTTGCCTGGAAGAAATCGCTTGTTAGCGATAAGACCGCCCGTTGCCTTATAACTTTTGTCACCTGCTTTTATTTTATATGTATGTTTTCGCATAATAATAAAGTATAAATAAATGTCGTAATGTCAAGAATGACATACTCATGGAATCTCGTACTATAGAATATATATTCTTACCTGTGGTATTGCCGGACATCTCTATGATACATTTGCTCTCCCTCGCGATCTCTCGCGAGTTGAAGGGGCGGACCCGCACCGCCACCTTCACAGACGACATGGCGGCTGTTTATTTAACCGTCTGCGCCTTACAGCATCGGTACTTGTGCCGATATATGCCTGGAACAACAGTTTATATGAGAACTGGATTTTACATGGGTATTAACAACTAAGTAAAAGTTTAGTGAGTGAAAAAATAAAACACAAGAATACAGTATCTTCCCTTTAATAGAAGCTGTAAGTAGTGTTATTGGAACTTTCATATAATAAATATCCTTATTAGTAAATTAGGTTAGACTTAAATTACTTATTAGTCTGAAGTTAGGCTAGATAGTAATGTTCCAGGATGTCTTAAAAAGACACATGTATAATGAGACAAAATGTATGTTACAATTATTATAAAGAATATCGTATTTTTTTCTTACTTATAAACACTAAGATTAAATCGCTCTCTTCTCAAGTAGTGTTTCATCATTTTCTGTAAAATTGTGTAACTGTGATTAAAAGAGAAGAATACTTTAGTTAAAACTGTGCAATTACTCATTTATTTTTTATGAATAAGACTAGACTTTAGTGTTTAATAAAGCCCATATTTTAAGCAAGTAATTTAATCTTAAAACAGAATATGCTTTTGATGAACAGAAATAATAATTAAAATTGGCAAAAAAAGATATTATGTGTACAAAAGACTAAACATGGCTATTTCAAATCAATAGTCTTTATATAGTCTTGAAGACAGGTTTCAACATAACTTACTAAAGAAAATGTTTGAAATCGTTTGGTCGTAATAATATTTATTTCAAACTAGCAATGGTCCATAGTCATCAAATTAATAAACGCTTTTGATTTTCGCTTGATTTTCAGCCTACATATTTTGAAACCGCACACTATATGTTTTAATAGAAACTATGAAATTGTTTTACACATTTTAGATTTAATTCGACATAATTGTAAATTAAATAACATTACTATTTTCAAATAAATTTGTATCGACATTTTTTTATTTCTAGTACATAGTTCAATCAATATATTCTCAAGCAGCGTTAAGCTCACAAGACGTGAAGAAATTCAATTCTCCTTGACCTACTTACAAGATGGTGTTCCAACTTGATCTATTATATGAACCTTTTGCATTTCCAAATTCCCGAATAAAAAATTTTCCCCTTTCCATTTGTTATTTTCCGACATAAACATGCCGTCTAATAATCTGTTTTGAGAATAATAAATATATTTTAATTATATCATTCTGTCACTAGATGGCGTTAGAATTATGTGTAACAACGTGTGCTGTGTTTTTATTTATTTGTATAAAGTTTTAAAAGATGAATACACCCGTTGCTTTTTTGTGCTATGGTAGTTTTTATTTTTCCATGATGCTTTTGAAATAATAATAAAAAATATTTGTAAAAATTAATGTACATAATACAATATAAATTAAAACTAATAATAAATGATAACAATAAATGTCTTGTTCAACAATTTACGTAACTGTGAACTAAATAAATCAATACTTGCGTTTACGTGTTTAAAAAACTGGCATTTAATATTAGTTGAACGTTTATAAAATTTTTGCCGTTACGATCCGTTACGCTCTGACAGACAACTAAACCAAATGCGCCGGCGACTCACAACAGACATTTGGAAAGGTCACAAATCATCGATTTTATTTAATGTTGCACGCACTCGTCCCACTTATATACCAAAAACATCACCTACCTATGACGCAATAAAAGCAAAATCCAAAAAACACTGTCAATTAACACTTTCACAGCACATCTCACGAAATCACAGCTTAGCACAAAATGTAGGAGCGAAGTGATTGTTTTCAAAGCGCTCCACGGTCGCGAACGACTGCACACAACTGAAAGTGGCCGCCACGGCCGATGCACGCCACTTACGTAATCAGCACTGCAACCCACATCTAACACCGCCTGCAAACACAAGATCGAAGGGGCAGCCATAAAACGTCGTCGCAGAGATGACTCATCACGCAGTGGCGCCACCTACCCTGGAACCTCTGCTGCAAAGGTGAAAACTTACCCTGGTCTCGCGGACGAGGGTGTGGAGTTGATGCGTTGTTTTCTAACGTTTAGAGCGTGGTGCTCAGGTCAAGTCGCAGTTGAGGCCGGCATAGCGTCGCCGTCGGGTGCGCGATGCGACTGCGGGAGGACGGCCAAGGCATTGGCGGAATGGTGGCGCGCATGCGTGCTGCCTTTCCAGGGCCTTCGATCTAGGGCCGTGGTGCGCGAAAATGTCACCGCGCATCCCACACCGCAAATAACGTTATATACAACTTGAACGATAAATGTTCGTTTGATTCAGAATTCAGCCCTAATTTCATCACATTTTGACAATTTATTGCCATTTTTAGATGTTTTTATTGCATTTAATTTATGAAACTACCACTTATGAATTGCAATGTTACTTTTTCTCATATTATGTTGAATTCATTTATTACCGAACGGGTAATTGAGGTCCTTAAAACACAATCATTACAATTTATCGCCTCAACCGTGAGCAATAAAACGGTGGGTATTCGGTGAAAATCTCTTCATTACCTACCCACATTTTACATATGCAACATAAGAAATTCCTAACTGTACGTTCTACTTTATATATTTAATGAAAACCAAGTAGACTTTAGAAAATCGAGTAATGTTATATAATAATAAATTGCGTACCAATTTCGGACAAGATGAAACGGAGGCGTCGTATTTGATTCCAGGGAAAAAAAGACTGATCCCGCTTTAATCCTGGACTCCAAGACTTTAACATATATATCTGAAACTCCCCAATGGATAGATAGAACTTTAAACCAAATGAACAGCAGTTAAAGCCTTCTTTCCCTCAGACATCTGTGAGTCGACAATCGATACAACTGCGTCATAGATTTGTACATTTCAAACTAGTTCCTTGAACCTTCTTTGGTAATGCGCTTGACGTAGAACGCTTGGGTTCCGAGTAAATCGTCTATACACAGTAGATGAGGGCAAAGATATCTTGAGTGCGACAAAATCTTTTACTTCTCCATATATTATTTGCTTGATAAACAGCTTTCTGTTATGTCTGATTGTTTTTAAATAGGATTTTCAGTTTACCCGCCTCACCAGTACGCCACAATGGCGGCGTTTTATAACTTAGTTGTTTGGATATAGCTCTTCAATTTTTTAATAGAGAGCAAAAGGACTGGAGGCTCTCCTGTTGTTATGATATACCGTCCATCGACACTCAATGGGAGAGGGCTCGCAAGGCCGGCATTTTAAGAATAGGTACGCTCTTTTCTTGAAGGACCCTAAGAAGCATTGGTTCGAAATCAATTCCGCAGCGCAGACTCTATAGTCCATAGTCAATTAGTAATGAATAAAACAAATTACGCTCAGGAGTCAGGACTGCTTAAAAATAGATAGGTAATAAATCTCCGCGTCTATTCATAAAAGAAGATCTATCGAAACGTAAAAGAAATATTAAAATATTCTTCAAATATGTTAACGTTATATCATATATATATAGGTATATATTTATTTCTTGCCCCCTGTTCTCTAAAAAAATGTTGAGGTCAAGTTCGCAATTTTCTAGCGCTTTTGTTTCACATCTATAAAGGATGGACGCTGTGGGATTTTATAATAAATTTATAGTGCGACCTAGAACACGCGATCCCCATGGAGAAACAGGATAAACAATACTTTTCCAATAAAATTTTCTTGAAAGATTTCTTGAACTTAATTTTCTTTAGATTGCTTTGACCCAACGTAGGATTAGAATTATAAAATCGATACAGAATATCTTATATACTTTTTAAACATTTATTTATTGGCTAAAAAACAGTGAAATTTATATAAAAAAGAGATATTTGTATTAAAATATGTTCTTGAAACGCGTAATAGCGTTCCTTTTTAACAAAGTTGTAAAAACGATCTACCGAAGTGAAGTTTCAATCCCGGACCGAAAAAAAAACTTAAGCCCGTGCTGCCGAATGACTACACCAGTCGTGTCTGACATACTCCGAGTTATAAAGCGATAGAAAAGCAATTTCACTTGCTTCTACGCACACTACGTTGCTATTCTGCGTAAATGGCCAGTCTCAGTCACAGAGACTAGCCGTCATAGCCGCTGGTCTACAATACAGAACTAGCCAGTCTCAACAGAGACTAGCCGTCATAGCCGCTGGTCTACAATACAGCACTAGCCAGTCTCAACAAAGACCAGCCGTCATAGTAGCTGGTCTACATTACAGAACTAGCCAGTCTCAACAGAGACTAGCGGTCATAGCCGCTGGTTTGCAATACAACACAAGCCAGTCTCAACAGAGACTAGCCTTCATATCCTACAATACAGCACTTCGTTCTGCAGTACTAAAAGAGCTTCATGACGAAAGTCAGGTACATCTGAATTATCATCAAGTTGATCACGGCCATAATTAATAATACATTATTTATATACTACTACTACTTTCAACCTTAAAGACAACTGTATGGAAAGGACCAAGAGGAAGGAGAAGAGGTCGCCCAAAAAAAAGGTGGATAGAACAAAATAGAAGCGGCGGTAGCAGGAAACGAATGGAGAAAGAGAGCCATAGACAGAGTCAGTTGGAAAAAGCTGGAGGAGGCCTTCACCCGTGAAGGGGTTCCGATCGACGGTACTGAAGGAAGCTAGGATATAGGATAACAGGCAAAAGAAGAAAAAATTTAAAATAATATAAGCTGTGTATTATAATTTGTTTTTGTCATGATTGGAAATAAAACGGGCTTTATTATTATTATTATTTCTATAATAATAATAATAATAAAGCCTTTAATCAGATAGAAAATAATAACATAATTTTAAACTTAAGCTTAACACTAGTGAGTCGGTGACACCGACAACCCATCTGTTTGCCCAACTTTGGCAAAGGCCTCCTCCATTTCTCTCCACTCTGCTCTGTTCTGAGCTTTCCTGGTCCAAATTTTCCCAGTTACGGATTTTATTTCGTCTTCCCATCTTCGAAACTGTCTACCTCGTTTTCTTTTATTATTTCTTGGGTACCAATATATGATCTTTTTGTTCCACTTTTCTATACCTCTTATTACGTGACCAGCCCATTTCCATTTCAATCTTCGTATCCTCGTTGTGACGTCTTCAATCTTCGTGTGGTTTCGTATGATTTTATTATTGATTCTGTCGGACTTCCTGATATTTAGCATGCTTCTTTCCATCGCCGTCTGGCATGTCTTCAATTGCCTGGTTTGCATTTTAGTGAGTGCCCAAGTTTGGCAGCCGTATGTTAATACCGGAAGTATGCAAGTGTTATACAGCTTTGATTTGACATTTATTTTTATTTCTGTGTTTTTCATGATTTCGCTAAGCCCCCAGTAACATTTCCACGCTTTCCCAATTCTTGTATCAATTTCCTTCGACATTATACCAGTGGTTGAGATCTGTTGGCCCAGGTATGTGTACTCTTTCACATAATCAATTGACTCTCCATTTACTATAATAATATCTTCTGATGCATTCGTCATGGCTTTAGTTTTTGAGGTGTTCATTGTTAGCCCTACCTTGCGGCTTTTCCTCTCCAGGTCTGTAATCATAATTCTTAGATGCTCTTTGTTTGTAGCAAATAGTATGATGTCATCGGCGAATCGTAGGTGTGTTAGTTGTTCCCCGTTTATGTTTAGTCCGTACCCATCCCATTTTAATTCTCTGAAGATGTCTTCTAGTACAGCTGTGAATAATTTAGGTGATAGGGGGTCTCCTTGACGTACACCTCTATTTATTTTGATTTCTTTTCCTACTTTTTCTAGTTTTATTCTAGCGGTACTATTCGTGTATATATTTTTTAATATTCTGATGTACTTTGGGTCGACTCCTTGATTTTTGAGGCAGTGCCAGATATTTCCGTGCTCTATTGAGTCGAATGCCTTGTTGTAGTCTATGAAGCAACAATAGAACGGCACATTGAATTCTTTGGTTTTCTCAAATATTTGTCTTACCGTAAGTATATGGTCTAATGTTGAATATCCCGCCCTGAAACCAGCCTGCTCTATAGGTTGATTTTCGTCCAGATTTCTGGTTATTCGCCGCAAAATTACTTTCGCAAAGACTTTATAGATGTTTGACATTAAGCTTATCGGCCTATAATTGTTCATGTCACTCCTGTCACCTTTTTTGTGGAGGAGGATGATCGTTGATGTGGTCCACTGTAACGGAATTTGTTCAGTGCTCAGTATATCGTTAAAGATGTATTTTAGTAGTGGTGATATCTCTTTTTTGCAGACTTGAAGCATATCATTATTAATCCCGTCAGGGCCGGAAGCTTTATCCTTCTTCTGGGATTCAATTGCTTTGTTTATTTCTGCTTCTATTATATGAGGAACATTATCGTTGCTAGTTAAGTCTATATTGTAAGTATGATATTTGCTGGAGTAAAGGTTCTCATAGAATTTTGTGGCTATTGATAAAATATCCGATCTGATAGTCCTTGTCTTGCAAAATTGGTCTTTCATATTAGGTATCCACTTTGTATTGTCAGATAAGAGCTTAAGAGCCTTTTTTATGCCACCCGTCTTGATGATATGTTTTTCAAAAGTGTCACGTCTAAGACGTTCTCTGTCTCTTCTCATTTGGCTCTTAATTTCTTTGCTAGTTTTTCCTATTTGTTCTCTGATAGATTTTGTTTTGTAAGTCATTTTAATTAATTTTGATCTTTTTTCTATGAGGTCTTTTGCTTTAGCTGATATGTGGCCATTGTCCTGTGATTTGGTTTTAGACGTGGTTTTCGATCTTGCTGTTAGTATCTCGTGTATTATGTTGTATTTCTCTTGAGTTTTTAGGTGCTCGAGCGATGATACCTGCACGGACTTGAGGTTTTCTTTTATGTTAGCAATACTAGTGTTGCTGCACATTGTGGATGTTTTAATTTTGAAGGGTCGACATAACTTCAAACTAAATGATGCGTTTAAACACGCTCTAAGCACTCTATGGTTACTGTTGAAGTTAAGGGTAGAGATGGTGCCACAGTCGTCGATTGATTTGGGTCTGTTCGTTAAAAAGTAGTCTATTTCATTTTTGTATCGACCATCTGGTGATATCCATGTCCATCTTCTGGAAGCTCTTTTTTGAATACACTATTCATTATTTTCATATTATTTTCAAATGCCATTTCCATCATCTTTTGCCCGTTTCGTGTTCGTTTTCCAGTACTGTAAGGACCTAGTACGACATCTTCACCGTTTCTTGGGGTTCCAACACGTGCATTGAAATCGCCCATTATAATGCAGTTTTTGTGTGTGTGTTCTTTTAGGGCGGTGTTAAGGGATGAG